GAAAGAAGGAAGAATTATTCACTGGATCGATGCTATCAAAGATTTCATTTTGCCAGGATCCACAATCAGCACTCATGGAAGCAGCAGTTAAGAAATCAAACAATGTACTGCATTAGGCAAATCTGCTAAAAAAAAAAAAAAGACCTCTTCAAATTGTTACAGGGCAGAGATGTCAGTTTGAGACCTAGGGTATGCCTTGACCCAAGAGCCATGATATTTTCAATAGCCTCATACGCATGTAAAAGTTGAGCACTGAATAAGGAAAACTGTTGAAAAATCAATGCATTTGAATTAATGTGTTGGAGAAAAATATTAATAGTACCATAGACTGCCAAAAGAACAAACCAATTTGTGTTGGAAGAAGTACATTCAGAATGTTCCTTTGAAGCAAGGATTGTGAGACTTTGTCTCTCATACTTTGGACATGTTTCAGCAGGGACGAGTCCCCTGGATAAGGAATTCACACTAGATAAAATGGAGGGTCAGTAAAAAAAAGAGGCAAACCCTCAAAGAGATAGACACAGTGGCAACAGCAATAGGCTCAAATGTAACAACAGTTGTGAGACTCGCTCAAGACCAGGCAGTTTTCATTCTGTTGGGCATAGGTTCACTGTGAGTCAGAACCAACTCAACAACACCTAACAACTACACAGGGTTGTTGTTGTTAAGTACCGTGGAGTCGGTTCCAACTCATAGTGACCCTGCACAGGGTTTCCGAGGCTGCAAATCATCTTTCTTCCACAAAACAGCTGGCAGTTTCGAACTGCCAACCTTGAGGTTAGCAGCCCGATTCATAACCACTACGCTACCAGAGCTCCTTATCACAGAGGGGAGACATGTGATCATTTGCAGAACAGAAAGGCTGTTGTTAAAAAAAAAAAAAGAACAAGTAAAATAAGAAAATACAAAATCCATAAAAACAATGTAAAATTTCACTATTCTTTTAATGTATGTATTAGAATCTCTAAACTAAAATCTTTTAAAAGAGTTTTTAGATTTTCCTTCCTCTCTAGTATGTTTGCTTCTCCTCTTTTCCTTTATAACACTTAAAATATTGTTGTAGTTGTTAAATTCCAATCATAGCAACCCTGTTTTTGAGGAGCTGCTGGAGGGTTTAAGTAGCCAACCTTGTGGTTAGTAGTCCAGTGCTTATCCTACAGCACCATACCAGGACTCCAACACTTAAAATAGTAGCTATCTATTTCTATGATTATTTGAGATATATGTCTTTCCCACTTAGACCTTAAACTCCATGAGGACCACAAATCGTTTGCTTAGTTCCCATAGAATCCTCACCACCTCATAAAATTTCTGGCATAATACAGGCATACAACACGTATTTATTAAGTAAACGACTGAGTCAACATGATAAATCACGCTCTCCCTTTCTTCGCCATCATGTGCCTGCTGCTACGTTCCATCTTCGCTATGTCTTCTCATAAGACTTTCAGAATCAAGAGATTGCTGGCCAAGAAACAAAAGAAGAATCATCCCGTTCCCCAATGGATTTGAATGAAAACTGGTCATAGAATCAGATACAACTCCAAGAGAAGAGACTGGAGAAGCAACAAGCCGGTCTCTAAGGAGTCGCACATGTGAAGACACAGCACATAATATTACCCAGGTCCTAGCACCCTACCACAGCAACTTCAGTTTTGCCAAGATTTGATCAATCGAACATGTTCTGCAAAACTGGTTTCTTCCTTTATTTTCATGCTTCCGCATTTAAAGAGGTTGGCTAATAAATATGTGAGACCTTTGGTTTGAAAAAAAAAAAGAAGATATACTAAATCACACACCTAGTTCAAAAAAGTCAATAAATAAATGGAGAAAAATCTAGAAGGGATTTCAGTGCATTTATCTATATTTAGGAGTATTAACCATTTAACTTTACATGCGTTTCTATTAAAACTAGTAAAATGTCACAAAACATTAACTTCATCTAGCTTCTCCGTATCAGGAGGGTGGTGGTTAACTAATAGACTGCGAACCACAAGGTCAGCAGTTCAAGCCCATCAATCACTTCCAGGAAAGATTTACAACCTCAGAAACCCTATACAGGGTCACTATGCATTGGAACCGAATCTAACTCACTTAACAACAAGAAGCTCAACCTCATACACCCATGTGACATATTCAGCTAAACAACTACAACCTCCATTTTGTGATTTGGAACCAAATATTAAATAACTTTTTCAGTGACATAATAAACCAGATGCACAAATGAGAACAGAACTCTGCTGTTTTTATGTCTCTTGCTGTTCCTAAAGGTGTATGATTTTAATATCAATTTGAATGGCAAAGAGAGATAAAAAAGGAAAAGAAGTACTGTACTCTCTCTTCAGTGCCTAGGAAAGAATATACTAGTCTTAGTTGTATGTAATAGTCTTCATTGAAAACAAGGACATCTGAAGGTGCTGTCGCTAAAGTGCTTGGCTGCTAACCGAAAGGTCAACAGCTAGACGCTTACCAGCAGCTCCAAGGGAGAAAGATGTGGTTTCCATAAAGATTTACAGCCTTGGAAATCCCATGGGTCTGTTCTACTCTGTCCCTTAGGACAGCTATGAGTTGGATTCAACTTGACAGCAATGGGTTTGGGGATTTTTTGGTTTTGTTTTAGTTGAAAATATTTTTCATTTTGCCAAAAATGATTTCAAGGTTGTAGTATATCTAGAGATAAAGACAGTGTAAAAAGCAGAAGGTGAGGCATTTTGGCAATAAGGAACAGAAGAAGGTTCAACACTTGAGTAATATGAAGCCTTTTTTTTTTTTTTTTTAAGCTTTGGTTAAAGTAAAGCAGCATGACAAGCAACAATGAAAAAGGGCATTAATAAAGAGAATAAGTACTAATACCAGATGTTTAAAACACCAGTCCCCTGGGATTCTAGTTCCCAGGTTTTAAATTTACTTTATCTCAAATATAATTCTACAGCCAATAAGTTTTCGATTTAATAGGAATTTTATATAGAAAGAAACAGGCTACTGAATTATCACTATTCCCTGAAATCCTTTTAAAATACTAAAAAGGATTTTATACTAAATGACATACAAATTAGTTTGATACTAAATGGCATGCAAATTCAGAAAGGCAGAAATGTCAAATGTTTGTAATTAATGGAAGCATACCTATTTGTAAAACAAGTCCTAACTCAACCATTCTGAAAGCTCTTGTGCTTTAGTGCCAAAAATGTGGAGAGCATTTATAGCCAAAAGGATCCAATTCAAAAATAGGAGAGGAAAAAAAAAAAAAAGCCTGCAATCAAACCAAAAAAAGTTAAGCAGAGAGTTAGGTAGTCTTAAGAAAAACACTGAAAATCACAATAAATTTATTTTGAGGGTAGAGTCCAGAGAGATAGTTGTTGCTCACATTAAAAAACAAACAAACACCCACTGCCAGTCAAGTGGATTCCACTCATAGGGACCCTATAGGGCAGAGAATTGTTACATAGGGTTTCCAAGGTTGGAAATCTTTATAAAAGGAGGCAGCAGGCCTCCTTTTAACCACTGACCTTACCATTAACAGACCAGCACTTAACCACTGTACCACCATGTCTCCTGCTTGAGGACTCTACTTAAACAAGCAGCGAAATATATGTGTACAAGATGACTGCAGCATCACTCATAATGATTAAAACCACAAACCAACATTTCTAAATTATACAGAGAGTTAACGAGTTATAAAGAATTGCATGTTCACCACTGTATTTCAATGCATAAAATGCTGGATTATGCTACCTTTACTCAAGGCACAGTTATTACAGGTGGAGTTGCTTTTATATAGGACTCAGGGTATTATTCAGTTTTATTCCCACCCCTTCATATATGGATTGTCAAATCATGCTTCCAATTTGCAATATACATCACTCACTGCAGGATAAGATTTGACACATATAATTTTCAAACAAAAATGTAAGATTTATTTGCCTCATAAGGGTTCTATCTTAACTTCTTTCATAATTTATAAAAGCACAAGCTGACCGTGAATCCCCTTCCCAAAACAATCTACCAATATCTTTAAGCCTTTAAATGTAAGCGGCAAAGAAATACTGTCCTCTAAATGCAGACAACACTGTTGACCCACTCGAGGCAATTGATTTGTAGTTGTTTTTCTATCAGGTTGATAGATTTGGGCTCAGCTACTCCTGGTGTCTACTAGGTCCCCCTGGTGACTAAACAGTACAAGAGGACAGTAGTAGCATTAGAAGGCTTAGACTGGCACAGCGCAACAGAGGGTGGAACGCGAAATCATGAAAAATTAACACGCGAGCAGTACACACGACAAGACTGAGAATTAGGTTTGTATGATTGGGGTGTTTGAGATCCGCTCACCAGCACTGTCCCCCTTCCTTTTAAAAAGCAAACAAACACACATCCGCCTCCCTCGGGCTCGCATGCACTACCTCCTATTTAAATCACGGATGTGATGGAAAGACTGAACCAAGAGGCTCAGCACAAGGCACTCGCTGCTTCTGGGGTTTTGAAAACATTGATATGCCAAATTGCAATAAATTTCTAAAATATGGAGGGCTGATAAACCACCTTTTCTATCACCGATTAAAATCCCAGGACACAGAGTCAAGAATACTCAACCTGCGGGGCCCGCGGGGGAGGAGGGAGAGCGCGGAGAGGACCAGAGGAAAGACGGCGGCACGTCCCGAGCAGCGACAGCGAGGGGCACGGGCTGGGGGAAGTGCCCGGGCGCAGGGTCTGGCCCGGTTGCACCTTTGGGCACTCGGAAGAGAGGACGTGCCTGGCGGGCGGACGGGGCCCTGAAGGCGAGCCGGCCTGGGCGCAGGAGGCGCAGAGGTGGCCTTAGGGTCTGCGGCGCTGGGCGGCCGCGGAGGGCGCGCCGCCAGGTGCCGGACGGCAGGGGGCAGCGGGGTTCGGGCCGACGCGGACCCAGGGAGGGGAAAGGGAGGAGAGGCGGCGAGTCCCACGCGGCACGAGCGGACGCGCGGAGGGGTGCGTCCGCAGCAAGTGGCGGGGAGCCGCCGGCCTACCTGGAGGTAATAGGGTTTTCTTAGCCAGGCCCCCGGACAGAGACTCCTCGCCATGGTAATCACACATCGCCCCGCCGCGCCGCAGTCAGAGGCGGACCTGGAGCGCTAGCGGCCGGGCTCCCC